ACACAGTCTCAACACACAGAAAAGACGGCGTATTTTAATCCACACTAGAATCTTTAAGTATAATTTTGTCGATAAACAGAAGCAAGTGAGTGAACGACGCCTGACAGAAAGCTTAATGCGGGTATTTTAACCTACAATATGATCTTTTCCTGAACCTAACCAACCAGTTTCGTAGGATAAACAAGCGCAGATGGCAACTGAAGAAAGGGTCAAATAACAGCAGCTGAAAACGACGTCTGAAAAGAAAACATACGGAGTTAAACAGCGACTAAAAAGGACGTATTTCAACTTAAGCGTTGATCATTTTCTAAACTTAACCGAGCAGTCATGTCGGACAAACTGAAGCAAACAGAAAACAGCAACTAAAAGTAAATATAACGATAGACTAGAAATGTTTTAATGTTTTAACCTGTTTTAGCTAAACTTAAATTAAAAATAAGTGACTGAAAGCAAAAGCAAGCAACTGGACAACACCTGAATGTGGATGTTTAAACCTAAACCTTGATCTTTTCTTAAATGTGATCAAGCAGCTTTAGAACCTGAACTTCACCAGCAAACAGTGGCTGAAAGGGACAGAAAACGGTGACTAAAAACAGCAACTGGACAACACCTGAATGTGGATGTTTAAACCTAAACCTTGATCTTTTCTTAAATGTGATCAAGCAGCTTTAGAACCTGAACTTCACCAGCCTGTCTTGTACGATAAACAAAAGCAAACAGTGACTGAAAATGAAAGTAAACAAGACGACCGCGGGGGACTCCTCCAGCCTCCTCATGCACACTTTATTGTCCATTTATCAAGTGAGCGGAAATAAAAACTTGCAGACCAGTAGAAATAAAAAAAGGCAATAAAACAAAACAAAAAAGCAGCGCCTCGTACTTTTACAGCCTTTATTACATAAATTTAATACTTGGAACAAACATTATCACCACTCATTATCTTTTATCTCCCAGCTGGCGACAAAACATTTCTTTTCTTTTTTTTCCATCTGTCGCTTCACGTAGAGCGCGATTATGATGTGACGACTTTATTGGAGTGCAGCTGCTTTTTAATTGATCGACTGTGTGATGACTGTAAATCAGATCTAATTATCTGTGGATGCGTTTGGATCCAGAGTCAGTGTTCTCTTGTAAATTGGTCGCTTTCCCGTGTGTGGACTCGTCCAAACTACTGCTTTTGAATAATAATTCATGAACACCTGAAGACGTGGGTGCATCCAGAGTTTTATAAGAAAAAAACAGCAGCGTTTAGAGAAAAGCCTGTAAAGTAATTTAGAAGAAAAACCTGTTTATGTTATGACCTGCTCGTAACACTGGAAATGAAACACAGTCCTGATCCGGTAATCGACCCTTAACGATCCTAAACCTGCTATCCGACAGGTTTTTAGGAAAAACCAACAGAACCCATAAAAACAGCCTTAACATAGCGACAGCCTTGGATTGTGACTCCGACATGACATTTAATGTCACCAATCAGGATGACGGCGTATTATCTGACTGAACAATCCCACAGATTGGCTACGTTCACACTGCAGGACTTGATGCTCAATGAGGATTTCTTTGTGACTTCCTTCACGTTTCCAGTTCAATGCGACTTGTATGTGATCTGCTGTGTGAACTTCATACGAGCCAAAAGTGTCCCGCATGCGCAGAAGAGGACACGACGACGTCACACGCAGCGAGCGTGCTCAGTGTTTACGGAAGTAAACATGGATGGTAACGGTGGAGCGTATCTGCCACTCCCCCGCCGCCACCGATGGAGGAAACAGAAGTGTGAGCGCTAACTAAACTAGCATCAGCAGCCAAGTACTGCCTGTGTGTTCTGGACACTTCCACCCCGTCAGAGCGCTGCCCCGGGGTGGAAGTGTCCCCCGACCGGGACGAATGTTCTGATATTCATCATTAATTGGGCCTGAACATCCAGAGTGCTATTGGGACCATCCCTACTAGTTCTTATAACATGAACAATAAATATTACCAACTAATGAGCCTTCCAGCATCAAGCCCTCTTCGTATCTGGACCGCCATCTTGACAATCCGACATAACAGAAGGTTTTACATTTAGTGTCGGATCATCGAGTCACGACTGTAATACAGAGTTGGAGCGTCGCAGCAAAACGTGAGCATTTAAATTCAAACTTCAACCACAGTCTGAACTACGACAGTCAGAAACGAGCTCCGTGTAGAACAGTCCACAGTCCACCGCATCCCAGCTTATCATTATTATTCAAACGTCAACCAAACCCGTCCGCTCAGCTCCGGCGCAGGTGAAACTCCGGAGCTACAAGCGACGAGTTTCATAGAAATAACCTCCAGAACGCCTCCACTGGTCCGACAAACGGGAGGTTATGAATCCGTCAGCTCAGATCGAGGTCTAATTAGATTTCTGTCCGTCGGATCAGAGTTCAGGATTATCTGCGACGACGGACTGAAAACGGACTGAAGGCACAACGCTGAGTCACCTGAACGCACAACGCTGAGTCACCCTTCAATCACTCTGCCCGAAGACCGCCAGCAGCTGATAACAAACTGCGTTTCTTTGGGCAGGAGCAAAGCCAGGAGCTTTTTCTCACAGCTGCAAAAGCTGGACAGTAAATGCACCGGGCAACAAAACCAGGATTAAATGTGTGGAACAAGCACTGTGCGTCCTCTGCTGATTAAACACCAGCAGCAGTTTTATATTGTAAGTCCCAGTTTGTTGTCAGACTGCACACACGCACACACGCACACACACACACACACGCACACACACACACACACACTGCATAATTATCTGTTAATGATTTTAGGGTTTAATTTTATCTTCGTCATTGTGTGATTGCACAATAGTCAAGAATGTGAAATAAGACAAACCAACAAAAACATCACGCTAGAACTTTTTTGTTGCCCAAAACTTGTTTGTTTGTGTCTTTGTGGTCGTTTTCTATCCTTAAAAACCTTTCTGGCATCACTGTGGTCCGGTTTGTGTCCATTTGGTTCGATTTCGTGTCTTGTTTAGGTTGTTTTTTTATTTTTCTGCAACTGTTTTGTGTCTTGACAGTCATTTTGCACCATTTTCCGTGTCTAAGGAGTTATTTTGCATCTCTTTGAGGTGTCGTGCTCCATTTGGAGTCACTGTGCATCCATTAGGCATCGTTTTGTTTCTCTTAACAGTTGTTTTGTGTCGTTTTCTTTCGTTCTGCGCCTGTTTGGAGTCATTTTACATACATTAGGGATCGTTTTGTTTGTCTTTGTGGTCATTTTCTATCATTAAAAACACACTTGGAGTCATTCTGTGTCCGTTAGGGGTCATGTTGTGTCTCATTATGATCATTTTCCATCTCATCGCGGTCCGTTTTGTGCCCTTTTGGATTGATGTGTGTCTCTGAGGAGTCATTTTGTCAGTTTTTATAGTTATTTTGCAATTGTTTGTGGTGTTCTGTGCCCATTTGGACTCATTGTGCATCCATTAGGCATCATTTTCTTTCTCTTTACAGTCATTTTTTGGCTCTTTGTTGTCGTTTTCTTTCATCCTGCGCCTGTTTGAAGTGATTTTACATCCATTAGGGATCATCTTGTGTCTCTTCATGGTCGATCTATGTGTCCTTGTGGAGGTTTTGCATCCCTTTACAGTCCTTTCTCTCGTCAAAAACACGTTTGGAGTTATTCTGCGTCCGTTATGGGTCATGTCGTGTCTCATTACAGCTATTTCCCACCTCTTACTGGTCAGTTTGAGGTGATGTCTGCAGCTAGCTTTGGCCTCGAGGCCTTTAATGTTTAGCATTGCGTGGACATAGCCGCTCCAGCCGCTAGCGTAACAACCGTAACTGCAGTTAAACGCATCGTACATCATTGTAGTACCTGGCCGTGCCACCAGGTGGAGCCTCTTGCTGTTGAACGACCACAGGAGGCGCCACTCCGACTTCTGTCAGTTCCTTGTTGGCAGCAGAGAGCATTGTGGGGGTTTAGCTGGTTAAAGCTGCAGCCATATGTACATCAGTGTTTGATCCAACGTTACCTCATCCTGCTGATCGAGTAAATGTACGAACGGCGAGCAACGCGTGACAACAACACATGTTACATGACCACAACCAGGAAGTGTAATGATCAGCTCCATTAAATATTGATTGATAAGCCTGCCAATTATCAATTAAGGAAACTATTGAACATTTGCATCCCTCGTTCAGACCCAGGCCTGATTTCTGCAGAGCTGCAGTAAACCGTAACGTGAACACGGCTTCACGTGCATGAAGCTTCTCCTCTGAACGCTGAGCATCACCTCTGCTGGCCTGCATCCTGTTTTTATGAATTATAAAAACTCACGTCTAGAAATCCACTTACGACGAGCTGCTGATGCATCGCTGTGCTTTGATTTCCATCTTCTGACTTGCTCCCAGTCGGCCTGCTCACTAACCCACTCATGACCGGATGCGTTTCAAAGCGCGCTACGATCAAAACTAAGTTAGCGCTGAAGTCTGAAACTGGGCCACAGGAAGGAGAAGGTGGATTTACCTAAAGACCAACATCTGATCCCAAAATAACTCCAAGAATGTGATGAGCATCGCAAATAAACGATGGTATCGAGCGGCGCGGAGGATCCGAGGGAGGATTGTTCCGCTCCAACATGACTCATGACTTTAATGTTGAGCCACATTGTGCTTCACTTTCATACCAGCAATTATCCTGCAGGAGTAGGCGTCAGTTTTCTCAAACAGCGGATAAATCATCTAAGAGCAAAACTCTGCTTTGTGTGAATGCAGCTGAAGCTCACACGCACACACACACACGAGTCGATGTAGGAATGACCGGAAGGGCTGTTTACACGTCAATACCAGCCAGTCGGGCTCAGGGCTGCAGATCTGTAGCAGCTGCCGAGTCCACAGTGTTGTCAGTCCAAACACAGGGCTCTCTGTGTTTACAGCTGAAGCCCACTAAATGTCAGGCAAGGCTAACAGAAACCTCCAAACACAATCTGGAGCCTGCTGTCTGTGCGATGTGAGCAGAGGAGGAGGTGGACTTACGGTGCAGGCGGGCATGGAGTCGTCGTCGCCCACCGAGTCCTCTGGATCCTGGTGCACATCCTGTAATCACAGAGGTCAGCGTTAGCACACACCTGATACGCTGACACGCTAATTAGCACCTGCGGCCCGCCGCGTGACGCTGGCGGCGTCACCGCTGCAGGTCGCAGCACGTTCACCTGAAAAACAGGCTGCGGAGGAAAACTGCTAACAGCTCGACGCTGCTGTGATTCCAACCTGCTCAGGCTGCGTTCACACCGAGGCGACCTTTATCCGACACACCGGTTATGTGGGTGGCTCAGTCTGATTAGCACCAAGTTCTGGAATAACTCACATCATTTAAGGGCTTTTGGAGATTTTGTTTTTTATTCATGTTTTTCTTTTTAAAATTTTTTTACCTAATATTTTTAAATTCCCACACATATTTATTATTATATTTATTATGGATATTTTTTGATTAATATTTTTTGAACACATTTTTTAATTGCATTTTAATGTTCATTTTAAGTCACTTCTATTATCATTATTACATATATTAAAGGTATTTATTATTCATAATTATGTAGTCTGATGTATTTTTTAATTTTGTGTATTTTTTCACAGTTTTTACCTTCATTTTGTAATTTAAATATTTTTATGATACGTATTTAGTAATAACGATTTAGTTTTATTTTTTCATTTGTTTTTTTCTTTTCTTAACTATTTTTTCGCTCACATATATGTTTTTATTACATTTATTATGGGTATTTATAATTATTAAACTTGTTTTATTTTTGAATTTTATGGATTTGGGGTTTTTTTCTTTTGCATTTTTAATTTTTTACCTTCATTTTTTAACCCACATTTACTCTTCATTATAGGAATTTAGTAATACTGATTTTTTTAAAAATGTAATTTAAATGTTTCACTAACTTTTTACTGTTTATATAGTTTTTTTATACCTTAATTTTCTGTGTGAATTTTTTCAAATATATTTAAGAATTTATTTATGATTATATTTTTTTTTTAAATATCTACTTCATTTATTTTCTTTTTTCTCTTGATGTCTCTCTTTTTATTTTACCCTTTTATCCTTAATAATTACTCAGGTTTTTGAAATATCTTTTTTTTTCATTTTTTTATTATTCAAATTTTTTTTAAATAAATAATTTAGTTTTATTAACCTTTTTTTTTCTGTGACAGAAATACAAAACACTCTGATTTCCTCTCTTTTTTTTCTGTTTATGAACGTGTCCTACAAACATACTAACCTTAAACCAAGTAGGTAGAGAAGTGCTGACAGCTTAAACGTTTAAATCTTAACTCTTATCACACACATAGACTAGTTTTGGTCTGGTACCAGATTCATTGGAGGCCCGTGCTGCCTACAGCTCGTCTGTTTCCATTCGGAGGTGAAACCGCTTAACGAGTGGGCGTGTTTTATTTTGAAACTCTCTCCTCTCCCTCCCTTCCTGATGCACGAGTCAAACCAGAGGTCAAATTAAAACAAGACTTTAAAATAAAGTCCCCAGACGGCGTCGGCAGGAGATTTATCAGCGGGGCCGCCGGACTCCGTCTACCTCGTCTGGCCCAAAGGGGACAAACAACAGATATGAATTAGCATTGCGTAAGTCAGATTAGCGGCCTGTCTGCTTCGCTGCTGGAACAGCAGCTGTGTTCAGACGCCCAGAGCACCGATGCGCCGCCGCCGCCGCCACAAAAGCAATTAGGACAACAAAAACTACCTCGGTGGCTTTTTACTTCACCGGCGCGTCAGAAAAACGCAAACTGAACGTGTTCAGAATGAGATATTAGCAGCTCCAGTCTGCATGAACACACAGACAGCTATCAGCACATGATGCCACGAAAACACTTGTGGGTCCAGATTTCATTGTTCTGCACCTGTTTGGAAAAATTCTGTCTCTTGTTGGGGTCATTTTTCTTCTCTTTGAGGTCGTTTCTCATCTCTTTGTGGTGCTCATGTGTCCTTTCATGGACTTTTACTGACATCATGCATCTACTGCAGGTCGTTTTTGGTCAGAATCTGGTGTTTTGCATCATTTTATGTTGTTTTTAAGTCTTTTTGTGGCCCTTCAGTGTCTCTAAATGGTCTTTTATCCCATTTAACAACAAATAAGGATCATTTTGTGTCACTGTGGTCGTTTTTGTGTCTCTCTAAGATCATTTTAGGTCTTTTTGGGATAGTTGTCCATATTTTTGGGTCATTTTGTGTCTCTCGGAGGTCATTATGAGTCATTTCATGTCTATTTAAGCTAGATTTCCATCTGTTTGTGGTCATTATCTTCCCCTATGAGGTCATTTTAAAGTCATTTTATGTCTGTTTAAGGTAGTTTTCCATCGTTTTCTCTCTCCATGATCTTTTACTATCGTTTTGTACCATTTGGGGAACATGTTGTGTCTCTCTGAGGACATTTCAAGTCATTTTAAGTTTTTTATTGTCATGTTCTATGTTTATGTGACCATTCTGTGTCTCTGAGGTCATTTTAAGGAGTTTAAATGTTGTTTTATGGTCGTTTTCCATCATTTTGTGGTCTTACTATCATTTTCCACCCATTAGTGATCCTTTTGTGTCCTTATCTGGTCGTTTTTGGGTCCCTCTGATGTCATTTTAAGTAATTTTATGTCTGTTTAGGGTATTTGTCCGTCTACTTTTGGTCCTTTTGTCTCTCCATGATGTTTTACTGTTATTTTGCACCAATTAGGGATAATTTTGTGTCTCTCTGAGCTCCTTTTCTGTCTTTTTATGGTCGTTTTCCATCTTTTCAGCGTCTCTCCGTGGCCTTTTACTGTCATTTTGCACCCATTAGGGTTTGGTTTGTGTCATTATCTGGTCCTTTTATGTCACTCTGACATCATTTTGCATCTTTTTATCGTTATTTTCCATCCATTTGTGTTCATCTTGCATCCCTCTGAGCTCATTTTAAGTCATTTAAGGTCTTTTTGTGGTCTTTCAGTGTCTCTCCGTGGTCTTTTACAAACATTTTGCACCCACTAGGGTTCAGTTTGTGTCATTATCTGTTCATTTTGTGTCCCTCTGATGTCATTTTAAGTAATTCAGTGTCTCTCTGTGGTCTTTCACTGCCACTTTGCACCCACTAGGAACACTTTTGTGTCTTCATGTGGTCGTTCCGTGTCTCTTTGAATTCATTTTGAGTTTCTTACAAAACAACCTGAAAACGGTGATCCCTCTCAGACAGGCCGTGCAGCATTCTTCTTCTCTGACTACGCATGACTCTGTACATACGTGTTG